CTCAGTCCTAGTGATGAAAGCAGAAGATTTTTATTGGCAACTATCTTGCAACTAACTTTGCAGACTTACACATTTTTTCAGAAGATTGTTCGAGAAGGGAGGGCATAAAAGTAAGAATATTAGCAGCGAAGGCAGATAACCTGTTGAAGACTTACTGTTTGCCAGATACTTGTCTAAATGCCTGTGATGAGTACATCATCCTGATTACAGAGGAAGTAAATGAGGACACTGGAAGAAAGGACTTGCCCAAAACCACACAGCTAGAAAATGGGAAAGTCAGGATTTGAGCCCAGACTATTTGACTCCTAAGCCCATGCAATAAGAGGCCAAGAGACTGCTCAAGAGAATTGAGATTTTCAGATGAAGAATTTCTGAATTCAGTAGCTTGTTGCTATAAAGTAAAGAAAATATTTTATTGCTATTTGCCAGTCTCCATCCTGGAAGGTGTCAGGATTCATGTAGCTCTGGTTTTGACTGGAATACACTCAACTGATGTGCTGAGGTGTTCTGAGGATTGCTAACACTTCACGCACACTTAAAATAATACTTCCAATCATTGAGGAGAAAAAAAAACACCATCCTAGAGCTTTCAAATCCACTACATATAATCTATTGTTTACAATTGTAAACACTGATTACAAAAGATAATTGTTTGCCTGATTGGCCCATTCTTAGTTTGCAACATTTAATAAAATATCATTTTGGAGCCAATGGCTTGTATTATTAACACAGTTTAAGTGTTAGAACACAAGAATCCTTACTTTGAGGAAGGATTTCTATCTAGAATGTTTTTCAGCATCATTTATACAAGCATCCACTGTGCCTATCTACTCTGTTCAACTTTCTGTTCCTAAAACCCACTGAATTATTTCCTATCTTAGAGACTTCTGGCTGTTTCCTCAGCCATAACATTATACTCTCTGATATTCACATGAATCGCTCCTTCTTACAATTCAGATTTTAACTTAAATGTATTCTCCTTGAGGAAGTCATCCCTGACCACCTACACTCACATAGTGATCCAGACATCATCATATCACATTTTAATTCTCTGCACAACATTTTTAAATTTATTTTTGTCTTTTTATGTGTACAAATGTATGGGGTACAAGTGTAATCTTGTTACATGTATAGATTGAGTAGTGGTGATGTCAGGGTATCCATCACCCAAGTAAAATACATTGTAACCATTAAGTAATATCTTATCATGTACCCTCTTCCCCCTGTGAGGCCCAGTTTAAGATTGCCATTATTGTTTTAGTATAAAATGTACATGATTCTGGGATTTTGATCAAAGTCACAGACACTATAAAAATTACAGAAAAAATACAGACTATTTCTGCAAAAGCAATGTTTGTCCAAAAAAGAATTTTTGAGATTCTACTTTCTAAATGGAAACAATCTCTAGATTTGGATGTTTGTTTGCAACTTAGGAAACTATTAATGATGGTTGATCCCTTACTTATTTTTCCAATATATATTTTGTAACCTAGTAATAAAGGAGGATACACTGGAAAGCATAAGACCAGAGGCCTGAATGGTTTACAGTACCTTCAAATGTAATTTCTATTGGTGTTTCCTCTGCTGCTAAATGTTTCTGACTTTTATCCACTTTCACTAAGTTGGTATAAAGGTTCAATAAAGTTATGTTCATAAGCACTTTGATATTTCTAAGTAGAAAGAGAATCGGTAAAATAAAATCTGTTCTTTTTTTTTTCTTTAATGTTCTGACATCTGATAACAAATAAAAAGTAATAATACCTGAACCACTTCCAAAAAGAATTGGGCTCACACATTGGTATCTCCTTCCTACTTATTAGAATTCAAAACTTCTAAATAATATTTCTAAATAAATTGAGCCACTAATTAGCATGGAGGGCAAAGTTAAAGGCAGGAGAATGTCACTACTTAATTTAAATAAATGAGAAGTTATTAACTTGGGAGCCTTAGAACAAGACTGAAATTATCTAAAAAGCAGACATATAGTAGAATCAAATTTCACCACCCAATCATTGCCCTTACTCTAACCCTTAATACTTTTATTAAGAGTGGGCACTTAAATTGTTCTTCAAATACCTTCAATTGTTTTTTTATTCACTAAGATTATCAGTGAAGTATTAATAGTTATAAAAGTAAAATTCATTATCTTGAAATTTACTTCAGACATAAAACTGAATAGGTATGACTATAGAGACAAATATTATAGGTAAAGGAGACAAATATTATGTGTGCGCATGAGACAATCTGCTAATTACTACATAATTACTGCATAATACTTGCAAAAATAGTCTGTATTTTTTCTGTAACTTATATAGCGTTTGTGACTTTGATCAATCTATAATGTCAAACTCAAAAAGCAGTTTGGCAAGACCACACTTCATTTATAGGATGCTTTAGCTTTGTGGTCTTTTTAATATGGAATCCTTATCTTGAACATATAGAATAAATAAAAGATAGAATAAATTCTGCCTCTGCAAGTGCTTCTTCAAGGGAGATGGATTTTATTTATTACAATAAAACACCTCATGGTTTGGCAAATCTTTCATCATGCAATCCACTGAGTAAAAGTTACTCACCAGATCTTGATTCAGTATTCCCAAACTGCAGAATGCAGCATGCAAAGAATAGAGCACAATATAAATATTTTTAAATAAGCAAATAGCAGAAGCCAAAGAAAACAAAAAGGCCTATTTTAGTCATCCAACAATTATGAAATGGACATCCTTTATAAGGCAATCTTTTAAAAAGCCGATGTTAAAGACTGACCAGCAATAGAATATGTATTTAAATATTCCATTGTTTATCCTGGTTTGCCACTGGGCTTTCCACATAGTAGAATAGCAATTCTTTCTTATGAGCAGAATAATTTACTTGAACTTCATATATTATTTGCTCATTTTTCAAGAGAAAATGTATTGGCATTCATTATTAACTTTTTTTATCAATCAGCATGCATGAAAGAACAACATAGCAATTCTTCATTACACTAATAGAGGAAAAATTAACTCAACATCAAGCCTAATTGACTAAAACCTCACTAATTCTTCTAAATAGGGATAGGTCCTGCTTGATTAGTGAAAGCAATTTAGTATAGAACGTTTTAGATAGATGCACTTTTATTGCTTTCCAGAACTTAAGACTAGCAAACTGGGCTCCAGCAGCAAAGATGAGATACAGTGAGGTTCTTAAGAAAACCTGCCACAGTGTATGGATAAGACTAACATAACATATCAAACACATAACAACTTGGAATTTCTCTAGAAAATTTAGAAACTTTATGCACAATCTTGCCAAAAACAGTGTTTCAAAAGAAATTTTATAGATGCTGCCAAAATACTCTAGAGCCAAGCCCATAAGCAAAAGAGAACAAATCATGACTTATCAGCTATGACAGATTGGTAATCAAATCTAACAAGGTTTCATTATGAGTTGTAATACAAAAGTTCATTTGTAAGCTGCTAGAAATCATAACTTATTAAAGCAATATTCTCATTATGAAATTAGTATCATGTATATTGAGCAAACATGGGTTCGGATGCAAGACCCCAGAAGGGGATCTCAGCATAGTTTTGCCGTTTCTTATCTGTGTGAACTTGAGGGAGTCACTGTACTTAACTGAATCTTAAGTCAACTTAATATCAATTTCACAGTGCTATTGTAGGAATTTAATATAATAATGGCTAAAAAGCTACCACAGTGACCTCTACTATTACCCCTAAGCATTTATGTTCCTTTTTCAAGTATTTCTCTATATAAGAGAATATTGGCGAGCAGGTCATAGAGGAGCATCAGTGAACCCCTTTAAATTGTATGCAAAATTTGGTAGGTCTGTTGCAAAAGGCAAGGGGCTTTGTCAAATGGCTGTCTAAGGGAATGTTTAAAAACCATTGTTCTATAGCCACTTTCCTGAATTCTTCAAAATTAGAAAATGCCAATTTTTTAAAAGTAGAATGATAAAGAACTGAAGATTTATTGCTGTGAAAACCAATCTGTGGTACAGAAGTATGAATGTAGGGTATTAAGCATAATCAGGTGGGCCAAGTTAAGAAGCTGAACATGTGATAAATTTCTGTGCATGTGTGTGTGTGTGTTTATGTGTGTGCACACATGTGTGTATAAATCTATAAGCCAGTCGACTCAAGAACAACTGAAACATTATGTTAAATTCCCATTGTTTTAGAAGGCAATTAAAAATTACAATTCGAACAGCCCACAAACCAAACAAACAAACAAAAAAAACTGCAGTGAGAAATTAAAACCATATTCAAAGAGCCTTTTTTTTTCAGCTCAATTTCAGCACCCCAAGGAAAATAAAATCATCCATGATTATCACAGATGAAAACAAAATGAATGGCTGGAAGCATCATTTGCACATAGGTTGCTGTTCTGCCCAACTGTACGATCCCAATAAGCTCTTACATATCTGTCAAGATGGACACAAGCATCATTTTCTCGGCAAAGCATCCCTGATCACTTCACTTTCACCATGTCACATCCCAATATGCACCACTCCACTTGCATCACGTCCCACCTCACCACGCGCCACAGTGACTTGTATATGCCTCTACTCTAGTACTCATGACACGACACAATAACTATGTTTACATTTCAGTAAGTTCTAGTTTTACATGCTCAAAAAGTTCTACTCAAATAAATAAGAATTTTTTCACAAAAATAAATGTATACTTGGATTTTATTTAGTCATTTTAATTGATGAGAAGCATACAAATCAGGAAGCAATTTTGCTTTCTTAAAAGAACTTTGAGTGTAACAAATCTAAGTTCAAATCCTTACTCTGATGTTACACCTCCCTGAAATTCAGCTTTCCTATCTGTAAAATACGGATAATTACACCTAAATGAATGTTGCATATGCATAATGTATTGGTATATTCCTTGCACATGGCAAGTACCACCAGCATCACACCACCAACTACCACCATTATTATTTCTATTAGTTATTCAGGAGGCACAGGTACATGTATACCTCTTTTTCCTCAACTTCGCTTTATTGTGCTTCTCAGATATTGTGATTTTTACAAACTGAAGGTTTGTTGCAACCCTGTATTGAACAAGTCTATGTTAGATAGAGCACCATTCTTCTTTCAGCAGGTGCTCATTTCATGTCTGTCTCACATTTTGGTGATTCTCACAATATTTCAAACTTTTTCATTATTATTATAGTGATTTTTATGTTATTGTTCTCATTGTTTTGGGACACCATGACTGTACCCACATAAGATGGTAGACTTAACCAATTAATGTTGTATGTGTTCTGACGGCTCCAGTGACCAGCCACTCCCTTCTCCAGGGCCTCCCTATTCCCAGAGACACAAGAGTATTGAAATTATGCTAACAAATAATCCTAAAATGACCTCTGTGTGATCAGGTGAAAAGAGGAGTTGCATGTCTCTCGCTTAAAATCAAAAGCTAGAAAGGATTCAAGTTAGCGAGGAAAACATGTCAAAAGCCAAGACAGGCCAAAAGCTAGGTTTTGTGTGCCAAATAGCCAAGCTGTGAATCCAAAGGAAAACTTCTTGAAGGAAATTAAAAGTGCTACTCCAATGAACACACAAATGATAAGAAAGCAAAACAGTGTTATTGCTGACATGAGTAAAATTTGAGTGGTTTAAACAGAAGACCAAACCAGCCACAACATGCCCTAAAGTAGAAGCAAGCCCCTAACTCTCTTCAATTCTATGAAGGCTGAGAGAGGTGAGGAAGCTGAAGAAGAAAGATTGGAAGGTAGAACTGGTTTATTAGGTTTACGAAAAAAAGCCACGTCCATGACATAAAAGTGCCAACTGAAGCAGCAAGTGCTAATGGAGAAGTTATCCAGAAGGTCTAACTAAAATCATTGATGAAAGTGACTACACTAAACACCAAATTTTCAATGTAGATAAAACACCCTTCTGTTGGAAGAAGATGCCATCCAGGACTTACAGATAGAGAGGAGAAGTCAATGCCTGATTTCAAAGCTTCAAAGAACAGGCAGACTCTTTTGTCTGGGGCTATTGCAGTTGCTAACTTTAAACTGAGACCAATAATCACTTACCATTCCAAAACTCCTAGGGCCCTTAAGAATTATGCTAAATCTACTCTGTCTGTGCTCTAGAAATGGAATAACACAGCCTGGATGGTAACACATCTGTTTACAGCATGGTTTACTGAATATTTACAGCTCAATGTTGGGACCTACTGCTCAGAAAAATAAAAGAAATTCCTTTCAAAATATTACTGCACATTGACAGTGCATCTAGTAACCTAAGAGCTCTTACGGAGATGTACAAAGGGATGAATGTCGTTTTCCTGCCTGCTAACACAACATCCATCCTAAAGTCCATGGATCAAGGAGCAGTTTTGACTTACAAGTCATATTATATAAAAAATACATTGTGTAAGACTGTACCTGCCATAGTAGTGATTCCTGTAATGAATCTTGGCAAAGGACTTTGAAAACATTCTAGAAAGGATTCATCTTTCTAGATGCCATTAAGAATATTTATGATTCATGGGATGAGTTCAAAATATTTACATTTACAGAAATTGAGAACAAGTTGATTCCAACCTTCATGGATAACTTCAGTAAAGGAGGACTTCAGTAAAGGAAATAATTGTAGGTGTAGTGGAAATAGCAAGAGAACTACAATGAGAAGTGAAGCTTGAAATGGACTCAATTGCTGCAATCTCATGATCAATAAATGAGTAGTTGAATAACTTGAATAAATGAGTAGTTGTTCCTATGAATGAGCAAACAAAGTGGTTTCTTGAAACAGAATCTACTCCTGGTGTAGATGCTGTGAGCAATGTTGAAATGACAACAAAGGATTTAGAATACTTCATAAACGTAGTTGAAAAGCAGTGGTAGAGTTTGAGAAGATCGCATCTAATGTGGAAAGAAGTTCTACTGTGGGTAAAATGCTGTCAAACAGCATCGCATGTGCAGAGAAATCTTTCATAATAGAAGCGATCAATTGATGTTGCAAATTTCATTGTGTTAAAGCACTTCCACAGCTGCTTCAACCTTTAGCAACCACCAGCCTGTTCAGCAGCCATCAACATCAGAGGCACGACCATCCACCTACAAAAAGATTAGAACTTGCTGAAGGCCTGGATGATTAGTAGCACTTTTTAGCAATAAGGTATTTTTAAATTAAGATGTCAGTGTCATTTTTAGACATAATGCCATAAGTGCACACTTAATAGATTACAGGGTAATGAAAACATACCTTTTATATTCACTGGGAAACCAGAAAATCATGTGAACTGCTTTATTGTGATGTTTGCTTTACTGCAGTGGTCTGGAACCAAATTCACCTGATTTTGACACTGACTATGGTTCAGAGAAAATCTAAGCAGGGACAGCCTTCCAGGAGGTAAAGAACATAATGATCTTTCTGGAACGTCATACAAGGAAGCAGACTACTTTTTCATGTGACTACTTTCTGGAACTTCATACAAGGAAGAATACTTTCATGTGACTACTTTCTGGAACTTCATACAAGGAAGCAGACTATTTTCACCTGGCTCCTGGGGCACTCCAAAGTTTCAAGGCATACTGTTCTCCTTGTCTGTAACACTGTGTGATTCTAACTAGATGGGAGACACCCATCTGTGTCTCCCAACTGTGTAGTACATGGTTGAGTCAGTAGGTGTGAAGGATGTAAAAATCAACAGTTTGGCCCTTGAAAGTGAGGACACTGGCTCAGGGCTAAGGATTCTGACTTTCTACTCAGCAATGTATTATCATCTCTAGTCAACTTGAACCACACTAAGACAGAGCCTATTAAAGCCTTTCCCACTTTTTCCCAACCCCATAGTCCTTCATTCTCACTTCCTACCTGCCTGAAATTGGGAATATCTAACACACAATCCACCCACAAACACTTTCTCCATCTTCCATCCCATCATAGAATAGGAATACTTCCCCTTTTCATTGTAAACAGCTCCACTTGTACTCTATTTTTATTTCTTTTCTAGATATTTGCTCCATAAGACATCCCTACCACAACTTCCACTCTCTTTTGAATCTTCAACGTCTCGCTGTCCACCTGGTCTTTCCTCACTGTCTTAAATCTCCCTCAGATTAACAAAATCCCAAATCCTGATACTCCAGTGAACTGCTGTTCTCCCTCATTTTCACTTCAATAACAAACTCCTTGAAATAGTTTACTTTTCTCCTGTATCTCTTTACCAGATCTAGCCTTTCCTCTTCTTTTAGCTTCTTGCTGCACAATAATATTCCCGAGAGTAACTTCAAAAGCATTGAAAATTTATACATTCTTTACCAAAGCATTTTTTAAACCAAGGAAGGAGTTATTCAGCACACACACACACACACACACACACACACACACACACAGAGCAATGCTTCCTAAATCATTAAGAGGAAAAAAAAACTCAACTAAAAATGTGCAAAACAGATGATAGGAAACATAAAAGTAAACTGATGACCAAAACACATATGAAAAGATGCTCAACTACATTAGTAATCAGAAAGACAAATTAGAAAAAGATATCATTTCAAACATATTAAATTGGTAATAATCTTTTTAAGTCTGAAATTTCCAAGTATTGCTAAAGATAAAGAGAAAACAGAAATTATTTTTTTGCTGTTCGTGAGAGGGTAACAAACCTAAGAGTCTGGAGAGCATTTTGTTGTTATTTAACAAAATTAAATATGTACATACTCTATGATTCATTTTTATACATCCATTTATTATAATGTATATATATATTAAACATATGATTTTATATATAAAATGTATATTTGTATATTATAAATATTTAATATTTAAATTTTATATAAATATATATACATATATATATATATACACATATATATATATACACTATACACAGAGGGGAAAGTAAAACCTAAATGTCTACAGGTTATTTCCAGAACTCAAAGCCCCATAACATTGGAATTATGTTTGCATGGACCTTAAAGCATATACCAAACGTCTAAAATTATAAATTCCACAAAAATACTGACCATTTGAATGTTTATCACACAATTAATGAGAATGTTACCTTTACATATGGATATCAAAGTAGTCCATGACTGACACTGGTAAGCAGGGATGCCCTGAGATAGACCCAGGAGAGGGAAATTCCACTAACAGCAAAGACAACCCAGAATTTCTCCTCATGATTGCCTCTAGTTACAGTTTGTATGTAAGTATCAGTCAAGCAAGATCAATGGAAATCATTACTTATGTCATTTTATTATTTGCATATAGTTTTTTATTTTAATTAATTGTTATTATAGAGGAAATTAACGAATTTCTGTTTTGAAATCTTGTGATGTTCAAGAATTATATGATTTAAAATAGTAAATGGGCTTTTAGTGAAATATGGTGGACTGGATATACATATTTAACTCTAGTCCCTCCTGAAATGCTCTCCTGAATCTATTTCCTTATAAAGGAATAAAGAAGACATAAATCTGCAAGGACAGGAAGAATGAGAGACAATAGAACAGCACTTAGATTTGTATTTTGGAAGATGGAAAGAGGAAGACAAGTTCTAACTGACTTCACAGAGGAAGAAAGTCAACAAGAAGCAAAGCGATGCAGGACCCAGAAAAGTTCAGGGATTAGAGGCACCAAGTACTTCTGAAGCCAGAGAACGAGTGGAACTAAAACTAAGAGAAGTGGCTGCAAGTTTATTTAGAGAACAAGTAGAATCTTGTCCTTCCTCCCAAGCCAATGTGGCAAGGCAGCCACCCTAAATGATAATTGGACATCTAACACTGGGGAAAGGGAACCAGACAGACTCTCGAGGACACAAAGCAAACCGAAGGCTGTTGTGAAGTACGGTACTAATGAAAGGGGTGTAACGTCAAATATTCTTAGTGCCCCAGTCCCCGCCTCCTCCCACTTCACCTCCCAAGTGGCAGCCAGGAGTATACTCCGCCCTTCCCACTGCCAGGCAAGAATGAGAAAAACCCACCACCCAAAAGACTGTGGACAAGCCCCACACATATATGTACACACAGAGCTTCCAGACAGGTTTTTTTTGTATTTCATACTTTAAAAAAACAGAATGCTTCATTTTTTTCTGTACAAGATGTGTAATATTTCAGTTATGCTATGGAAGGGTGGAAAGTTTGGAATCCGTGAACTCTGCTGTCTCACTTCATCTGTTACTTCTTGAAAACTGCTCTGGGTCCTCACTCCTCTCCACTGTCCCCTTTGTGCCAGTACTTACAATAGTACCAAGTATATGTCAAGTACTGGAAAAATACTTGTTGAATGAATTATGTGTATTTAAACTCTCATGGAGCCCCAACCACCTCAAAAATGTTATCATTCTATTAGTGTCACTTCATATCAGTCATCTACAAAGAAAATCTCCCTAACATCACCACACTTTACAGCTAAATTCTATTTCATTACACCTCAACTTTACACATAAAATTCACGATAGTCAACTTCTAAAAATCACTTTATATTTAACAGTATCTATTCTTAAATGAAAGCACAGGAAACATCACAAAACGAGAGACTGATGACAGACTGCTGGAGGAACGAGCTCCAGGGGCCCCCTAGTGGCCTTGAAGAACCAACACCCTCCCAAAAGTACCAAACATTCCTCAGCAATCAACATCCAACACCAAGGCTGTGTCTTGGCAGAGGAGCCCCACCCGGCTGCATAGATACTAAAATGACTCCACCACTCGGCTACACAGGAAAGTCAAAGAGAAAAAAACAAACCATGTCACAAGGTGACAGGTGACACATTACCTAGCAACAATAACTGAATAACTGGTAAAGCAGCATCTTGTGCACCCCTCCTATTCCCTACGTCTTCCTTGTTACCCCTCTATAGCCCTCACTTTTCCCCAAAAAGTAGGCATGTGCACACACATATGCTACATGGACTGCTGTCTCACATTTACTAGGCCTGGAGAAAAGGTATTAGGGAACTCTCAAATCATTTTGTCTAAATATTTTAAAGTTATAATCAAGTTAACTGTAAAATAAAATATCTTCTATTATTTTGCTGTGATCAATATGCTTCTATGAAAACAAAATAAAACAGATGTGTAAAGCTATGATTTTTATATGACTAAACACAGATAAAACACCAGACACTTCTAAATTTAAATATTATTGCGTAGCTGAGTATTCTGTGATGAGCCAGAACTGCTTGGATGAATAATAAAGACATTCCTAAGTCATACAGTTTAAGTATTCTATAACATTACTTTGTTCCTTCTATATTTCAGCAAGATAAAAAATCATGTTTTTATAATCTAGATTTTCATATAATTTGAATTCTATTGATAGTAATCCAAATTAGATTACCTTTCTTAACTCACTATAATTTTTAGATAGTTTCTTATTACTTTAAATTTGGAAAATCTTTACTCTGTTGAAGCAGTAACAACTGAGATTGTCAATAAAATTCTTAAATCCATACTTGTAACCGAAATTGAACCCTGAATTATATTATCATACTCAATCCTTTTAATGGGGTCACCTCAGTTAAATTTTTTTATAATATAAAATATTATAAAGTATTTTAATTTTATTATTAAAATCACTATCACTTACATTGTAATACCTACTCTCTTAAAACAATATCCAGACCTACTTATTTCTTAAATTTCATTTCTTTTGATTTTTTTGTGCAATGTAAACAAAACTGAAAATAGCAGTCTGTTGCTCAATTTGTTTAAACATCTGTTTATTTGAGACTATACCCTCAACCAGAATGGTGAGAAAATAGTCCCCATAAGAAATTAGCATAAAAACTATTACCTCAAGGCCTGGTGCATGACTGTCACCCTGGCATGCACCTTCTCTTCTTTCTTCAGCTGCCTTTTTATTCCTGGAAGTGTATTTCCAGAATCTTAG